CAGTTATAATTGATATTAATAGAAATGAATGAGATAGAAGTGTAAAAAATTATACAAAACCGGACCAATATTAGACGAGATTCAAAATGATGGTTATCAACATTTATTGCATTGTGGCAATATTAATCTGCAAAATGTTGGTGTCAAGTCACTAATATTAATCATCAAACTCTCAAGATGAGAGATTCAGAGTGTTGTACAAAATGTTACGTTGCGTTGTGTATTACTACATGTAAAGAAGTTGCTTTAGCTCGTTTTCTTAATTACAATGCTAGTTTAATGGGCATGATGGAAACTGGTCTTAATAAAGGTCCAGTACATTTTAACTGTTTTCCTGATTTTACATTAAGTTTAAGAGATCCACATATTCTCAAGGCATTAACACTAAACATTCAATTACATGGTGAATATACTGAAATGTTAGATTCTTCTCATAATATTGCTTTAATTTATCGTGTTCATTATAAATGTATGCAAACTAATTTAAATGTTCATGCTTTACATAAAAGTCCCAAAGATAAAACTTTATTAATCCAAAGTAGTAGTACTAATGAATCAAACATTAATATTCCTCACATGATTGAATGGAAAGATATCAATTTACCCGAACAATGGGTTACTGTTAATGAAAATTACAAACATAGTCAACAACAATCTTCAATCCAAGACATTCAACATATTCAGCAAAACAATGATGGATCAGTTAATATTAAATTTAATCGAAGTCAGTCTTCTAGACATAGTACATCTAGTGTCCCTTCCGAAATATCAACTGACGATGAAATATTTAACACTCCTCTATTTAGGAAAAATAGTCAAATCCATCTTGGCCCAACTAATTCAACTTCTAAAAATAAATTAAAAGGAATTGATAATTCTACAACTTCTCAAATTAGTAAGCCTGTTTACACTACTCAAACACAGTTACCCGAAGACGATATTGCTTCAAATAATTCCCCAACTCAAACTGATTTCGAAGAATTTATACAACCTGTGAATCCCCAGCTAATGACAATCAAAAAAGATTTTACTCCTGATTTAAATAAATTACTTATTGAATTCCGATCCAAAGAAAATAAACCTAAACGACATGCTTATAGTACCAAATATAATTCTGTTCAACAATCCAGAATAACTAGAGAATGGTATAATTTTATGGTTCAATATGGTTTTGAATTATCTTTCTTTGATTATATGGATCAATATTACAAAAAGGTTAATACAATCACAAAACATAAATGGAAAACTTCTCCAAATACTTCTGTTAGTTCTAATCATCCTCCATTAGAAAATATAATTATTGATCACCAAGGTTCTGAAGTTCCAGCCTCTCCTTTTAAATTACCTGGTACTGATACTGAAATCAAAAAGGTTATTGAACAAAATAATTATACTAACCAATGCTTAAAAACAATTGGTAAACAATTAGATAAATTAGAAACTAATTTAGATGACCAATCTGCCAAATCAACTAAATCTCTAGATCAACCGTTACTTAACCTACCTAGTCATCGTTCTAAACGAACCAGCCTAGTTACTAATGATCAATCTACTGTCAAAGCTATCGAACAATTATTTACTAAATTAACTCCCAATGATACTTCTACATCTAAAGATAAAGGTCTTACTGTTTTGAATCAATAACCAATTACTAATACTGCATCTGACCAATCTGAAACTGATACTACTGATAATGAACTCAATCAATTAGCCCAACAGTTTCAACCTACCACTCTTAATAAAATCCATTATCCCAAGGTTAATCCTCATAATACCAAAAACTGGTATTCTAAACCCACTCCAGTCGACCTCCAATTTGAAGAAACAAATATTAGTAATCAATTTTCTGTTTCTGCTAAAAGATTATACGAATGGAATATTGATGGTCTTAGTGAAGATCAAATCCTTCAAAAATTAAATCATTTATCTATGGTCGCCAATAGTTATCTCAGTAATTATCCCCAATATTCTCAACCTGAAATTGTTTCTTTACTTACGTCTGGTTTTACTGGTATGCTCAAATCTTGGTGGGAAAAATATCTCACTGAAACAGACCGTGACTCTGTTATTTATGCCAATCAAACTGATGAAAATGGTCTCCCTCTTTTTGATGAATCTCTAGGATGTTGTCACCCTGATGGTATTAATCAACTAATCTATACCATAGTTCGACATTTTATTGGTACTCCTACAAATATTTATTCTCGAATCCATGATCAACTTAGTAATCTTAACTGTCCAACCTTAAGTGATTTTCGATGGTATGAAGATGTATTTACCTCTAGAGTCATGTTAAGAGAAGACTGTACTAAATCATTTTGGAAAGAAAAATTTATTAATGGATTACCTAGCTTATTTGCCCATAAAATCAGAGATGTTCTTAGCCAACCCACTGGTGTTATTGAATATGATAATCTCACGTATGGTGATATAATTAGTACTATTCAAAAAGAAGGTTTAAAAATGTGTATTGACCTCAAACTTACTAAAAAGCTAATAAAGATAAACATAAAGCTAAATATGAATTAGGCAATTTCTGTGAACAATATGGTTTACCTCCTGTTGCACCCTCTCGTAGAAAATCACACAAATATTCCAAACATAAATCATCATACAAACATTCCAATAAATATAAGTATAAAAAGAACTATACACCTTCCAAATCCAATGATAAATTTTATACCAAACCTAAAAAGATATATTATAAATCTAAATCACATCCAAAATCTAAATCTACTAAAGATGTTACTTGTTATAACTGTGGTCAAAAAGGTCATTACTCTAATAAATGTAAAGAAAAACAAAAATTAAAAGATAGAGTCAATCAACTTCAAATTGATGATAACTCCAAAAATCAGTTATATGAAATTTTCCAATTAAATCACTTTGTTAATAGTTCTTCCTCTTCTGATCCACCTACTACTTCATCCGACTACCATTCACCTAGTGATAATTCCGATAATGATATTACAATAGGTTGTAATGACGTTTGTTGTAAACCCGTTAAACAAATTACTGTCCTTACCAAAACTACTCAAGAAGAATCTGCTTTAATTGACCTAATTAGTAAATTAGATGATCCCAAGTTAAAACAAAAATATACTGATAAATTAAAATCCCTATTAATTCATTCAGATTCCAAACCTAAATTTGATAAACCTATCATTAGTCTCTCCAAAACTTTAGAAAGATTTAAAAATAAACAAAAAGAAGTCACATTACAAGATTTACAACAAGAAATTAATCAGATTAAACAAACAATCAAAGACTTACAACATAAAGATAAAAAATTAGAAGATGAAATTATTACTTTAAAACTTGATAAAAGTTTAGACAATTTCCACACCAATGAACATGAATCCCCACATGAATCTGAACATGAATCTGATCCTAATCCGGATAATTTAATATTTGATAACCGGTCACACCAATCCCCATCTAATAATCCTGATGAAAAACGATTAAGTCTAATCAACAAACTTTACATTCAAAAATGGTACTCCAAAATCAAAATAATTGTTAATGATTTTGAATTAGAATTAATTGCCTTAATTGATACTGGTGCTGATTTAAATTGTATACAAGAAGGATTACTTCCTACTACATATTATGAGAAATGTCAAGAAAAATTAACTTCTGCTAATGATACTAAAATGCATATCAAATATAAATTACCTAAAGTACATGTTTGCCAA